TTTAATCCCACGCTTGACGTGGGTCAAAATCTAGTAACCATTAATACGAACGTAAATTTATATTGTTTATTTGATGACAAAATGTAAGGATTTAATTATAGAGGCTTGTTTTTTTATTTACGTAAATCAAGTTCATGTGTTTTGTAAAATATGTTTTAGTTATTCGCATACCTTTTCATCTAATAGAAGGCAATTGAGGCTTATTAACTCGTTCCCTCGTTTGGGATTTTTTGCCACACAAACTCGAACTATTCTGGTCAATACTTTTTGTTGACATCGTTTCATTGGAATATCTTTAAAACAATTGTAAGTAGTTCCCTTCATTAATTAGTTCTGCCATTTATAATTTTTTTGTCAGATCTTTGAAGTACTAATGCTTAGTGCATATTTATAGTATTCTAAGGGTCACCTTTAAACAATCACAACTCTTTACTATTAGGAAGTTACATTTCAAAAGGTATCTTTACTCTTCATTAACCTTTTTGTCTAACCATTAAAACAATGTTGTCGCGATTCAATATTTCGGAATATGCAAACTATAAAAACTGCTTTCATGTATAAAAAATCAAAATTTTTGTAGATAATTGTTAAATTAAAAAACTCACTACATGCACCATCCATTTTCGAAAAAAATAGAGTTAGAAATTTCATTACTTTTAAACTAATTTCAAAATAATATCTACGCTAGTAAAAACATCTATATTTTAAATCAAGAACTTTTAATAATTTCAAATAAATAATTTTTGTAACATCTACACTAGTAAAAACATCTATATTTTAAAATAATTTCAAAATAATAGAATGACGTTTTTTTTATCTTTCTTATGCTTTAAGTGAATTAAACAATTATTAGCATGATAAACAAAAAGTTCAACGGAAAAGGAGTAAAGAACACAAATATATAGGCACAACTTTTTTTCCGAAAAGATGCGACCCTTGAAAAAAATATATAACCATAAAGTGTTTTTTATATAAAAAACGCAACTCTTGAGAAAACGGTTATATCGAAAAGACGTAACTCTTGAGAAACGGTATATCAAAAAGATGATTAAGCTGTTATATCGGAAAGACTCAACCCTTGATAAAACGGTTATATAAAAAATACGCAATTTTTGAAAATAACCATTAAAAATAACTATTAGACGGTTTTTTACGAAAAGTCACAATCCAAAAATATTCATTTTTTGGATTTGCTATTATATATTGGTGTTTACCCTCCTCATTGCTTAATACCAATCTTGTATAAGGATTATGAATAATCTCAATTTTCAATTTAACAAAATCTATTTGGTCAACAAAATCCGCAATTAAGTAGTTGTTGAATTCAAAGGAAACTTAATACCTGAGGTCTAGATCCTCGCTATGAATCCACGATAAATTAGACTGAAAATAACGAGATGAATTTATATAAATATGAATCGAATAATCAAGATCAATACAACGGTTTAAAGAGACTGAAATCAAACAAACAGTGGGCAGCTCGTAGTATTTGGATCAAGGTGGTTTGTCTAAATTAGAGTGAATAAGATTGAAATTAGTTTATTCGAAACCAGCCTTACTGTATTTATAACATGTCTGTCATGCTCAACTATTCTTATATTTCCGCATCATATTCTTTACATGATCCCAAATCTTTAGCACAAGCTTCGAGATTTTCTCCTTGACCAAGTCCATTTGTTATCTGCGAGCTCTTTTTTAGCTCGCAATTCGTAGCCAACATTTCTAACTGTTTTTCATGACTTAGCTCACGGGCTTTGCTAAGTGGGCTGGTCTTTTATTGTGATGGGTTTTTCAGTGAGTAGTGTTTGGTACAAAACAAGAGATTGTATTATTGTTTTTTTTTAAGTTGAGAGAAATTGTGAAAGTTTAGTAAAATTAAGTAAAATCTTTTAACAAAACAAGTGAAAAATATATTATAAACATATTGAGAGATTGTTAAATTTTAATATATTATAAAAATAGTGAGAGAAATTCTGGTAAAAACTTTTAACAAAACAAGTGAAAATATATTATTTCAAAAGAACTAAACAAGAGATTGTATTATTGTTTTTCGAATTGGGGAAAATACAAATGAACATACGAATGTATGTTTATATAGAGGTTAAATGGATAAAAATTATAGTGACAATAAGATTTATACGACATAAACATATACAAAAAGAAAGTTACTTTGTAAAATGTGAACGCGTATTTACTGCACACACTTTGCTGACTTTCACAACAATATATACTGTATTATTTGTAATCTTTTGGCTTTGGGGCAAAAGATTTGATCGGTGTAGGTTTTTAGAATTCACTCGGCTGTTAATTTTGTAGGTTTATATGTGGATGATAATGTTTTTGTTGGTTTTGATTGACCGTACGTAGAAGTCTTAATATCACTTCTCATTTATTTTTTCAGTTTTTGTTAGGTTTTAATTTGTCAATTTCTTTGTGTTGTTTATGAGATCTAATCGCTTTTGT